TGGTTTAAAGAGATGTAGATATCGTATATATTTATATATATATATATATATCAGATGCTGGTTTAAAGAGATGTAGATATCGTATATTTATATATATATATATATATCAGATGCTTGTTTGAAGAGGTGTAGATATCGTATATTTCACTTCTCGTCCTCCGTTATCCTCTTCGGTCGCAGTGATTACATTCGTGTATGTACATTCACCATATAGATATTACTGTTTTTAAAAAGCCCCCAGTGGACCAGCATTAAGTCTTGGGATTTATAACACTAAAAACCGGTTTTTGATGCTCATAGTGAGAACAGTGCAGATAGCCTATTGTGTAGCTTTGTGCTTAATAATAAACGAACGAACGAACTTTTTAAAGCGCCCCTTCGACAGATTTTAGCATTATAAACACTTAAGGTTACGATAAAACCACGAGGGACAAGTTAAATGTTTGAAAAAGTCCGTTTCCCTGCAATATGGATAAAATATAACCTTAATTTATCACGAAGAAAACTTCAACTTTATCATAAGTTGTAACACTATTTTATTCACTGTATCACAAACCATTGAGACAACAAACAAGTAATTTATTTATTTCAACAGGAGTTATATCAATAATAATAATAAGTTTGTGCGTTAGTTCTCACAGGCCCTAGGAATAATGTCAAACTAAAGCTTGAAAACTTCAACTTTGTTTTCCATATATTATAGGCGCTTTGGAACGAAATGCTCAAGGTGTGGTCAAGGAATATCACCCACGGATTTGGTGCGACGGGCTCGAACAAACGTGTTTCACCTGTCCTGCTTTACGTGCTTGGTGTGTCAAAAACAGCCATCAACAGGGGAAGAACTGTACATACTGGACGACAACCGTTTTATATGTAAAGATGATTACCTCCACAACCGCTACAGACAACGTAAGACAATCTTATTCTGATTATCAGTTAATCATTTACGAATAATTGAAATTTAATCATACTCCAAAATCTGAACGTACGAGAGTGAAAGTTATTTTGTACGTTTCTCATGAGCAGCATTTCTCTTCTTAGCGAGTTATGTCGTATATGTTTGACCTTCAATGTCCTTGGCATGTTTATCGATATATCATGCTTTCTGTATTTTACCGGCGTGTGATTTTCCTCTAAATATAAATTGTGAATAAGTGTATGTAAAATTTTGGATTGGATGAAGTGTTACGC